AATTATTATTTAAAATTAAATCAAAACAAAAAATTAATTTTGCATTCCAATAAATAGTTTTAGAAATTAATTAATTATTTCCAATTCAGACGTAGAATGCAGAGTGTTAAATGCGAATGTATTACAGTGAATTTCATTAAGGTCATTAAAATTTAACTTTTTCATAAAATATACAAATTATTCATCAACCAAAAAGTTATCCATGAATAAATTCAACCTAAATACCTTTTTTGACTTTTATTAATTGTCTTAGTATTACTAACATAATATCAGTTTTATTACAAAATTTATTATCTTTATAATATTATCATTTTTTTTCCTATAAAAAGTAGCTGTATCAAAAAATTACATATTTTAGTATATCACATCATTTTCTGGAATAAAATATTGTCAGAAAATATCGATAGCGTCTACAATATTGTCTAGGCTCTTTTAGCTTAAGTTATAATCCGAGCTACAAACATAGGTATGACTTTATGATTAGCATATTTTTTTGTAGATTGGACGAAGATTAGTTTTTCACTTTTCTTTTCTTTTTTTTACAAATTGTCTCAATCGGAGTAATTGTCATTTATTGGTAGTGAATGTTTGCTCTTTCTTGTTTTGCATAAATTATATTTTTGATTGAGGAAAAATTCTGAAAATAAAAAAATGTTTGAGAATAGGAAGCAGCTCACTGATTGAAATTGTTGGTTTAAAATGTTTGGCGATGTTCTATATGAGGATGATTGTTGCGGGTAACCATTTTCAGTTATTGGTTGTCGTAAAGGTGTTGCATAACCGCCACCACCAATACCACCTGCACCACCGTAAGGAAATGTTGGAAATTGTGGAAGTGCAGGTGCAGGTGATGGAGGTGACAAGGTTGGTAATGATGGTAGCAAAAACGGAAATTGAGGTGGCGTCCTTAGGAGTCCACAAGGGCAATTACAGGATGCTAGATTAGGCAAACATGATGACCTAAATCACAAAATTTTCATCACTAAACATCTGTGTGAATACTTTCGAGAAATAATTTTCTCTCTCTTTTTTTTTTGGTTAATCACGAAGAATTTCAAATTATTTTTGAAATCAAGAGAGTTGTTTTCAAAAAGAAAAAAGTTTTTTTTTTTTCAAAATTTCTCATCGTAAATTGGCTACAATCGGGGAAAAAACCTCATCTCATTAAAGGTAACCGAAAATCATTTGCAAATTTTAACATTAACTTTTACTACTTCAAACACACCGGAATTTTAATGAACCTTAAAAAATATTTATTTTTGGTTCCTTACTACGAAAAAAAGAAAAGAAAGAAAAAAAGTAGCAAAAAGTAAGTAAAAATGTATATCAATAAAAATAATTCAAAAACCAGCTAACATGCAACATCCGTTTATTCCTCCTAATGGATATCCATCAGATGTTAAAATGACTGTCATCATCGATATGACAGTAGCCAAGTGGAGCGATATTGAAGTGAACCACATGGTTGAAATGAAACGAAGAGAATTTGAAAATGGTAATAGTTTTGAAGAAGCTGATCGAGAATTGATCGTTCTTTTTTTCTAACTATTTTATATAAATTTACGATTGCATCTAAAATATAAAACTGGAATGTATAGAAGAGAAATGAGCCAAGGTCATTTGAATGAAAAATTCAACATTTTCTCCTCCTTTTACTTCTTTCTTCTCCATTATTAGTAGAAAAAAATAAAAGAAAAGAAAAGAAAAAAGAAGAAATAAAAAAAAAGACTATGAAAAAGATTATCATTTAAAAAAAACTAAAAATCCTAAATGTTATTGGGAATATAAAAAATTTTTAAAGAAAGTAAAATGTTAATTTTGCATAATTAATTTATTAATTAACTAGCGAAGATTACCTAATGCGAATTTAAAACAAAAATTTACTAAAGCAATTAAACAATCTTTGCTCTTTTTAGCTCTTAATCTGAAAGAAAACAATGAATCACCAAACTATTTCGAAAAATTCTTAAAAATTTTAATGCATACGATATTTGTAAAACTCCATGCAGTTAGAACGCGTTATTCTCGTTTTCCATTAATTAAGTAAAGGTAGAGGAGCATTGACCTTGAATAATCCTTCTGGAGTATAAAATAATACAGTAAAGAGTGGTGATATCAAAAGGGATAATAACCATTTCAATTTAAATTACGCCAGCTATCGCCACTTAGCATTTTCTTGAAAAATCTTAATTTTTTAAATTTGTATCCATTTTTTTATAATTTAAAAGTATAAATGGCACAAAAAATAAAGATGATAAGTAGAGCCTATTACTAAGATAATAGAAGAAAGTAATAATAAATAAGTTTAAAAAAAACATCCTTATTGAAATTTCAAACAATTTCCTGCTAAAATTCATTTCAAGTATTTATTTGCAGAGAATTTCTTTAAGATCCAGCAAAAATGGTATTGTTGAGCATATTTCTGTTTCTTATTCCGGCGTTGAGTGTCGCGGTAAGTAACGCTTACGGTTACAGTCAACCGTATGATAGCGCAAATGATGGTTATGGATATGGCTACGGGAATCAACTGTATCCATATTCATATCCTCAACCTTATGGTTACACTTCAAATTCTGGTAGCATTTGATAGGTTTTCCGAAATTATCTCTATCCTGCTTATTACCATATGCCCAGGTCAGTTTTATCATTTATCATTTGGTAACATTTATGAGATGTATTTAAATCAAGAATATTATTTAAAAATAGATTTACTATATGTTTCTGAACGTGTTTTAGTGTCTCAAAAAGCTGAATAAGATATTTTCGAGTAAATTTTATATTCAATAATATTATTATTCAATTATAGAAATTTAATGTTAACTTATTTTTCTAAAAATAACGAGTAGAATACTTGTTGACTTCAGAGACATTAGCAATAATTGCAATTTTTTGGCTATAGCAATATAAATTTTTTGTTTTCTTTTTCTTAATAATACAATTTTAGCTTTGGAAGCTTACTGAAAAGTGGCGCATATGGAGCGTTAAAATGCGCAGGTGCTGGTGCTGTGGTCGGTGGTATTGTTGGACTGATTGGATGATAGGAGGTAGAAGAATGAAATAAAAAATTTTTTTTGAGTGCGATACTTTACTGTCACATAATATTTTCTGAAATATATTTCGTAAGCATATTTTAAAAGATATTTCGAAACATGTTCCAAAATATATTTCAAATATATCCTGAAATATTTCAAATATATATCAAATATATTTTAAACAGTATGCGTACTTTTTACTTTCTCAAAGGTACAAAATTTTAGAATAATAGTCCGAAAAATATATTTGTGATAAAATTTCCATTATGGTAAGAAGAAATGAAAAAGTATGATATTGGAAACGATCCATCCATACTTGTCATGAAAAATGGTGAAAATCATTTTTCATTCTTTTTTTTTAAAAAATTAAATTTAAATTAATGCTGAAAAACAAAGTAATAGAGCCGAAAAAAGGGAAAACTTACAGTTCTTGTAATAATGAAAATTTGTTTCAAATGTTGCACAATTAATAAATACCATTATGCTACCTACATTTTTAATATATATTAATGATACCAAAAGTACATTTTAATATTGTCTCTTGCAAGTTTTTTTTTTCTCTCTTTACTCTGCAGTTAGTAAAAATCCTTTTGAAAATCAGAGAATAATCTGAATAGAGCATATTTCAACAGTTTGTTAAAATCAATTAATGATTAACATGTTTGAACAGAAATTTGAATGAATTAGGCTTGCATGAATTACATTAAGCCAATAATCAAAATGATATTATAATTTTCAAATGATCAGTAGATAAAAATACATCAATGTGTTGAGAACTAAATAAAATATAATCAAATATCATAAATGGGAAATTTTAATTTTAAAACATTATGCCAATTGTCAAAATATTCTTTCAGGAAAATTTGTTGGAAAAAAGCTATAACTATTCTGCATTCATATAAATTATACCTTATTACTATTCCTGTTACACCTGATATTCCTTACCCATCCTTTATCACTTATCGTACATTCTACCTTATCAAGAAATTTACATATTACTTGTTATCATCAAACACAGATATGTATTTAATTTTTTCTTTGAGTTACATTAGTGTCTGTTACTCACCCGAAAATTATCTTAAAAAAAAAAAAAACATTTCATACTTTCCTGCTGTACAACTCAATTCCAGCAATAACGTAGTTTTACAGCATGATTTGTGCTTGTGATTTACATCATATTACGCAAAAACTGCAAATTATCAAGTGAGGATGAAAGTAAAATTTTAACGATGCTTTCAAAAGTTTTAAATATCGTTTTTAAACTTTTTTTCCAAATTTTGCATTTTTCGTGAAATATATATTTGTAAGCATGAAAAAGAGAAAATTTGTAGTATTTTGAAGTTCACTCAATAATTACAAATGATAGGAAAATAGATTAAATGAAAGAATTTCTTTCTCATCAAATGCTTATAGATCAAAAATATTAAATAATTGGGCAGGCGGTAAAGCTCTAAGCTTGAAAACTTTCATTTTTTATCATTAAAACGTTCAACAATAATTGATGGGTTTTTTTTTGCAGACTTTTGGATGAAATCATTGGTTTTTTTTTATTTCTAATTGAAATCAGATGATGTGAATGCGAAATTTGACATTTAAATATATCATACATAAAATTTTCATCTTTTTTTAGCAATGATTATAAACCTGTTCCAAGAAAATTTTCCTTTAAATAACAAACAAAAATTACTTTCATACAAATATTTAACATTCGTTTTTTTTTTGAGTTATTCGTTTTTAAAACTCATATTTTTTTCACAAATATCTTATTTATTTAATTTTAAGATTTCGCGAAGTGAAATGTTTGAGAAGAAAATTAATTACATTAGAAATTAGTTGAAATTATTGGATGAAAAGGTTAATGAGTAGAAAAAATTTGCTAATATAGAAATTTTATAATGAAATTTGCATCATTTTTGCCTATCTCAAAAATCTTTTCAAAAATTTTCATCTCTTTCAAATTTTCAGTGTAACACAGTTTTACATTTTTTTTAGCACGTTAATAATATTAAAGAAATAATAAAAATGAATCTCATTCCTATTCTATCTCTAATACTGCTGCTGTCACCCATCGTCGATTCATACGGATATTATCCATACTTCTACGGATTTTATCCTCCATTTTATGGATTCTTTCCTGCTTTTAATAGGTATATTTGTCCCTTTTTAAGACTTCTATCAAATTTCAATTAAATTAAGTTTATTTGAATCTTTCCAATACATTCAGTTTAAATTACCAATTTTGAAAATATAGCACAAAATTGGGATTTAGGATAAGCTTAAACTGCTGTTTACTTTCTTCTTAATTGTTTTTCACTCAATTATGCTCATCGACTGGGAGCACAAGAAAACAATGGAATAAAGTCGTTAGTTAATTATATGGAAGATTTTTTTTAGACAATAATTTCATCTAATATTGAAAAATCAAGTCACTTGAGATTTATTCTCTTTCATCATATCATTCAATTATAAATTTTCAGACCTGCAATTGGATTTCCACAGGATGCTATAATTGCCAGTGGTATCGGTGGTTTGCTAAGAAGTTTAGTGGGAAAGTAATTCTAATAAATGATATTATTTATAGGAGAAAACTTCTATATATTTTCTATTCTATTCGTTATTGATGCTTAACTGAATATAATCAATCTTTTTTTTATATTACACATCAAACTTTTAGAAAGTAAAACTTGTCATTGAATAGCTAAAAAATAATGGAGCAATAATTAAATAAAATATTTATCACAAATTATTAAAATTAAAAAGTTGTTCGTCAATGTATGAATTATTTTCCAATTAGGTAATCAATTCAAAAAAGAATAAATAAATCGATGAAGTAATTATATAACTCTATGTGATGCGGATATATTTCCATGAATCTTAATGAAAATTCGATTTCTCTAATCTGATACATTAGTATATTGCTTCGTCTTGATAAATCAGTTCCTTATTCTGTTGTCATTTCTTACATCCTCTGAACAGTCATACTTGTATTATTCATCATGCTGAATGTAAATTTAACCTGTCCGAATAAAGCAATTCTTCAATGAACGTTGATAAGCAACAGCATAACAGGATCATCATCCCACAGTATGTTGGGATTTCTCTCAACAATTTCTTCCATATCACTATCAAAATTAATTACATAACAAACATTGCTACAGTTCATCAAAATGCACCGAATTTCAATTACTTCTTCATTAAAAACCTATCTTTTCCGGGCAGTGAGAAACTCTTCAGCTTGTTAATAGTTGTCGGTTTTTACTATCCCAATCAAAGTTGGAAATGCACAGTCAAACACATTTTAAAATCAGCATATCCAAATTTAAATGCCAACCTAGTCCACTAAACTACGTGCGTTTATCGATAAATGTAGCAAAAATATCGCTTTCTATAACTTATTTCACTGCTATTCATTTCATCGTTTTTACCATTACAACCGCAGTAGCTGTACTGAAAAATTTAGCGATTGTCTCAAAATTAATATTTCTTCTTCTCTTCAAAAAGATTCTCATCAGTAATGCCCTTGCTCATACTGTCAGTTCATATTCGAAAAAAGATAAAATTTATTAGCATCGAAGCTGAAATACAAATTATGTCAAAGTATTACTAATACTTTGAGACAAAATTTATTTCTTAGCATTTCTTTTCCCATCCAAACGGCAAATTTTAACATACAAAATTTTCTCGTAACCAAAAAAGATCTGACTTCAATTAGTATAACAGGTAATGATGCAAGAAAAAAATACAAAATCATGCTTCTTATAAGTACAAAGCTTCCGGAGCTCCCTCGTTCTTGCGGTAAAGAACATTCTCTTTTGCTTTCTTGAAATCATCCATTGTTACTCTCATACGACGTTCACGTAGCGCAAGCAAACCTGCCTCCGTACACATCGCCTAAAATTTCTGTTGGTTACTCAATTAATCCCCATAAGTTCCAGTTTTAACTTGAATCAATGGAAAATCAAAAGACAACAACTTATTTTTTGATTTTTCAATATTTCAACTTTTTTTTCATTTTAAAACTGAATACCAAAAATAAATAGCTTGAATTTTACCATTTGTGAAACTGAACTCACAAATGAGACATACATTTTTGAATTCCCTGAAGCACTCGTAGGAAGAATAGAAGACTTGCAGACCGGTTTCAAAATACTTTTAGGTTTGTTATTCATGACTGTATTTAATTTATAAAATAAAAGAGAAATATAACAGAGGTAACCTTAATATCCGCACCACTAAGTTCATCCTTCGCTGCAATGAATTCATCAAGATCAACGTCATTAGCCAACGTCATTCGCGACGTATGGATTTGAAAAATGCGACGTTTAGTCTTTTCATCCGGTAATGGAAATTCAATTTTGCGGTCGATACGACCTGGCCTTATCAAAGCAGGATCTAATGAATCAATGCGATTTGTCGCCATGAGTACCTGGAAGAGCAGACTAAATTCTTTCATAAATATTTCTTTTTTAAAACGAATGCCTAAATATGCAGATATATTGGCTATTGATGACAGCGACAGGTACAGAATAATAATTAAATTTTTTTAGTTTCAAAAGAGCCTTTACGATTAAAAAATTACTTTAACATCACCGCGCGAATCAAAACCATCTAGCTGATTGAGTAATTCAAGCATAGTACGTTGGATTTCACGTTCCCCTCCGGAATTAGAATCGTACCTTTTCGTACCAACAGCATCAATTTCATCAATAAATACTATTGACTGAAAGAAAACATTTACTAATATACAACTATGACTCTAAGTTAAAAGTGAAAGGGATATTGTCTACCAAATCATGAAACAAGAAAAATTGAAGTAATGAAATAAGAGCCAAAAAATGATAAGATACGATGAAAACTAATAGTTACAGGTGCGTGTTCTTCAGCAACTCGAAAAAGTTCGCGCACCATTTTGGGACCATCACCCAAATACTTCTGGATAAGCTCCGAACCAACAACACGTAGAAATGTAGCAGATGTTTGATTAGCAACTGCTTTGGCTAACAGAG